ACTTTCCAAGACGAATGTGTGAACATTTTATTCTATTTTAAATATATCCTTTAGAAGCTTGTTTTAATTTTTCATTACTCTTCCAGTAAAAAAAAACCCCTTGACTAGTATTCAAAAGAAAACAACACAACACTAGAGAAAAGCTACATGATTTTCTTATTAAATATTTGGCACAAATACCTTTAACTTATGAAATATTAAAAACACATGTCTTTCCGAAATAAAACAGGAAATTTAGAACTGGGGGGACCGTCTTTAAAGAACTAAGTCAATTTTAGTTGGAAAAACTGAGGCTTAGAGAAGCAAAGTGATTTGCTCGAGATCATATAGCTGGTTTGTCTCAAGACTAAATTCCAAATTCTCTAGACTCGAATTTCCAATCCTTCTACCAGCAACATTCTTTTTTTATTTTTTTTATTTTTATTTTTTAAATATATTTTATTGATTTTTTACAGAGAGGAAGGGAGAGAGATAGAGAGTTAAAACATCGGTGAGAGAGAAACATCGATCAGCTGCCACCTGCACATCTCCTACTGGGGATGTGCCCACAACCCAGGTACATGCCCTTGACCGGAATCGAACCTGGGACCTTTCAGTCCGCTAGCCGACGCTCTATCCACTGAGCCAAACCGGTTTCGGCAGTAACATTCTTTTCCACTACATATAATGCCTCTCCAAGTCAGCAATACTTCAAGTCAACATTTGGAAAAGGTTTTCTGCTTTTTTAAAAAAACAGAGGTAGTAAGAATCTGGACCCACTGGAGTCAAGTACTACCTGATGACTGGACAGCTTGCTGGGGAGACTGCTTCTGTACCTGACTATAGGCTTAGCAGGATTCCTACTCCAACAAGCATCATACACTATCTCACTTTCTAGGACCAAATATGCCTGAAGCCCAACAAAACAGAACATTTCCTTACAATCAAGCAAACACTTCACCCTCTCTCAGACAGGGAGAAAACAAATGTTGTCCTTTTCTCCTACAATCACTACAAAAGTAAGAAACTTTAAAACAAGAGGTTTCTGGTGACCCCAGATATATATATACACAAAGGCCTTTTTCAAGATTTAGTGTTTGACTAATAGGAACTAGTCTTCACTTTTGGAAATTCAGTTTAAAAAAAGGATAGGAAGAGAACGACACAGACACCGTGCGGGACGAGGTCAGGACCCGCTTCTCTCAGGAGGGACCTGCGATGGCATTAGCCCATAGCAGCTGGCTTTTGCCCATCTCGCGAGAACTGGAAGTGCCTATGTGATCTGGCCTAAGCGGAAGTTGAGCCTCTTTTTCGTGGCGCCTCGGAGGCTGTCGGCTGCTTCAGGATGAAGCTCAACATCTCTTCCCCAGCCACTGGCTGCCAGAAACTCATTGAAGTGGACGATGAACGCAAACTCCGCACCTTTTATGAGAAGCGGATGGCCACAGAGGTTGCTGCGGACGCGCTGGGTGAAGAATGGAAGGGTTATGTGGTTCGCATCAGTGGCGGGAACGACAAGCAAGGCTTCCCCATGAAGCAGGGTGTCCTGACCCACGGCCGAGTCCGCCTGCTGCTGAGCAAGGGCCACTCCTGTTACAGACCCAGGAGGACCGGGGAGAGAAAGCGCAAATCCGTTCGGGGCTGCATTGTGGATGCCAACCTCAGTGTTCTCAACTTGGTCATTGTCAAAAAAGGGGAGAAAGATATTCCTGGTCTCACTGATACCACCGTGCCTCGTCGCCTGGGGCCCAAAAGAGCCAGCAGGATCCGCAAACTTTTCAATCTCTCTAAAGAAGATGATGTCCGCAAGTATGTTGTGAGAAAGCCTCTAAACAAAGAAGGTAAGAAACCTAGGACTAAAGCACCCAAGATTCAGCGTCTTGTTACTCCACGTGTCCTGCAACACAAACGCAGGCGTATTGCTCTGAAGAAACAACGTACTAAGAAAAACAAGGAAGAGGCCGCAGAATATGCTAAGCTTTTGGCTAAGAGAATGAAGGAGGCCAAAGAAAAACGTCAGGAACAGATTGCGAAGAGACGTAGACTGTCCTCTCTGAGAGCTTCTACCTCTAAGTCTGAGTCCAGTCAAAAATGAGATTTTTGTAACTAACAAATAAAGGAGAGCAAACATCAAAGCCCAAAAAAAAAAAAAAAAAAAAAAAAAAAAGGATAGGAAGTATTGGATTCTCATATTCAAACATGTTTTAAAAATAAAATCTGAATCTAATTAGCTTTTACCCACCATCCCACTGAGGCCAGGAGGAGCACAATGCCCCAGAGGGTCATATGAATATGGGGAAGAAGATTTTATTGCTCATTTATCCAGCCAGCTGCCCTATTGCAACTATACTCCAAAAATCCTGAATCACTGGGGTGTAGATTACAAGTTAGAAGAATGGAGGGAAAAACCTGCCAACAACAAAAAATGCAATCTAGTCTTAGGAAACCAGAAGAAGATCTGGGCTTTTAAAAAAAATATGTATTTTTTATTGATTTCAGAGAGGAATGGAGGAGAAAGAGATAGAAACATCAATGATGAGAGAGAATCATTAATTAGCTGCCTCCTATATGCCCCATACTGGGGATCGAGCTTGCAACCTAGGCATGTGCCCTGTCCGGGAATTGAACCATGATCTCTTGGTTCATAGTTCGATGCTCAACCACTGAGCCACACCAGCTGGACTCTCTTTTGTTCTTTTAAAGATAGCATACAGCTTTTGGGTTCATGACTGAAATATTCTCTCATTTCTCAATGAGAGCAAGGTTTTTGGTGTGTTTTGCTCACATTATATTCCTAGCTCCTAAAGTAGTGGAATTCAGATGGCTCAAGTATTAATAAACACATCTTTCTGAATAATGTTACCTTTTTTGACATTTTCTTCTCTTCATAATGTTTCCCTTTAAGGTGATTTTTTTCTCTCTGCTAATTTATTGTTTTTTCCTGTTTAGATCTGGTAATTCTTTTGTGTGTGTGTGTGTGTGTGTGTGTGTGTGTGTGTGCGCGCACACACGTGCAATATCTGATTGGGAGCACTGAATACGTGGTGGGCTTTTTGAACTTTGAAATTTAATGTAGGATTACCTAAGAGGTGGGTTATCTGTTGGGAATTCCCCGATGTTTGTATCTTAAGGTCTTTCCTCTTAGACTGTCTGATACCAGAGAAGAATTCTCTTCTGTCCTTGCTTGACAGGTGCAGGCCTGGTTGCTAGTATTTAGGAACCAAGTGGGAGAAGAACACTGAGAACCTTACAACATAGATTCCCCATTTTTTGTGTGATATCTCCAACCTCATCTATGTTTGGTGTTCTAATCATATTTATTAGCTCTTGTATATTTTTTTTAAAAAGAATATTTACTGATTTTTATAAACCGGTGACCTCTTGGTTCATGGGTCAATGTTCAACCACTGAGCCACACTGGGGTGATTCTCTGTAACTATTAATCATTTTCTTTTTCATCTAAATCACTAAATATCTCAAACCTTTCCTTTATGTCAATAACTTTATTTTCATTGGTGTCTACTATTCTGTTATTTGTTATTTTAAAATTTATTAGTTAACTCTGAAGTTAAGTTACTTGGTCCTCTATTTTCTTAGTTCTCTATACTCTTTTACCTCATTTTGTTGTTTTATCATCTCATCACTGAAATTTTGTTTATAAAATCTACATTTTAATGAGTTGTTTTATAGTTGTAGAGTTGTAAAGAAATTCTTCCTATTCATTGAGTTATTATTTTTCAGGGTAGGCTCTTTGTCTTTTGCAGGGTATTTTTCTTGCTTTCATTTTGTTTGGTGTATATTTGCACAGCTGGCATGCTAATTCTTTTGGGTCTTGTTCATTCTTTTATTAATTTTGATACAATATAGATGAATTCTTGCCCTGGCTGGTACGCTCAATGGTTAAAGTGTCAGCCCATATACTGAAGGATTGTGGGTTTGATTCCCAGTCAAGGGCACGTACCTGAATTTCAGGTTCGATCCCCAGCACCAGTCGGGGCATGTGCAGGAGGCAGTCAATCGATGTATCTCTCTTGCATTGATGCTTATCTCTCTCTTCTCCCCACCACCTCCCTGCCTTCCACTCTTTGGGGGGGAAAAAATCCTCTGGTGAGGATTAATGAAAAAAAAAATTTTTTAGTGTTGTATAGACATACAATGGAATATTATGCAGCCTTAAAAAGGAAGGAGCCTGGCCAGCATGGCTCAGTGGTTGAGCATCGACCCATGAACCAGGAGGTAATGGTTCGACTCCTGGTCAGGGCACATGCCTGGGTTGTGGGTGTGATCCCCAGTGGCAAGTGTGCAGGAGGCAGCCAATCGATGATTCTCTCTCATCACTGACGTTTCTGTCTCTCTCCCTCTCCTTTCCTCTCGGAAATTAACATCAATATATATTTTTTAAAAAGGAAGGAAATTCTGATACATGCTACACATGGATGAACCTTGAGAACATTACACAAAATGAAGTAAGCCAGTCACAAAAAGACAAATACTTTATGATTCACTAATATGAAGTATCACAAGGAGTCAAATTCATAGAAACAGAAAGTTGAATGGTAGTTTACCAGGGACTGGGGAGAAGAGATGGAGAGTTATTGTTTAATAGATATAGAACTTCATATTTGCAAGGTAAAAAAGTTCTGGAGATTTGTTTCACAACAATGTGAATATACTAAGATTAGTGAAATGTACACTTAAAAAACGGTTAAGATAGTAACTTGTATAAAAAAGGAAGCTCTATAACATTGTCAGAAAAACAGTCCTGTTCCCTGTTCTCCCCACAGCTGCTTTGCCCCACTCCTATGCAGGATCTGACTCTACCTTGGCAAGAAAAGACAGAGAAAAGCTAAGCTTGTGTGGTGAAAGAAAGTCTTCATACTGTCTCAGGAGAAAACATTCACATTCTTCTGTTAATTTCACACAGTATAATCTAGTTTTCATAACTCTTTCCCATCCACTGGGTGGTTTTATTTTGTTTTAAGACATGAAGAATTGCCAATAAGAAACACCCTAGGGCTTACTTCTGCAGGATGGATCCCTTAATGACCAGCTCCTCATCCAAGTCCGCTTCATTAGCCATGAAGAGCAGCCTCTTTCCTGTGCTGTCCACTCCAATGAAGTCACGCTGCTCCACTGGATCATACAAAAGAAGGAATATCAAACAAAGACATTTGCTTTGCCTGTATGACTAAGTCAGGGAAGAGGGTACCTGCTCACATTTCTCTTGGAACCAAATACAGAACTGAGTGTTATGTAGCACATACTCATTACAATGTTTAAAATTTTTTTATTGCTCTAAAGGATATTATTAGGTTAACTGCGAATTCTGAATAAGTTCTATAGGTTAAAGTATTGTGTCAATGTAATTTTCTATTTTTAGAGATCTGTCCTTTATGGAGGTAGGCGGAGGACACACTTTTGTGTATTTAAAGGCAAAGGGAATGATGCCTGCAATTTATTCTCACATAGCTCAGAAAAAAAATTATATATACATTATATATGCATATGATATATATTGAGTATATGTTATGAAAGAGAGAATGATAAAGCAAATATTAAACTTTGGGTGCAAGATATATAAGTTCTTGCCCTAGCCGGTTTGGCTCAGTGGATAGAGCATCTGCCTGCGGACTGAAAGGTCCCCTGTTCGATTCCCTGGTTCAAGGGCAGATGCCTGGGTTGTAGGCTCGATCCCCAGTGTGGGGCGTGCAGGAGGCAGTCGGTCAATGATTATCTCTCATCATTGATGTTCCTATCTCTATCTCACCCTCTCCCTTCCTCCCTGAAATCAATAAAAATTTTAAAAAAGATATATAAGTTCTTTATACTATTCTTGTAACTATTTTGTAAATTTGAAATTATTAAAAAAATAAAAAGTGAAAGTGGTGGTGGATATGTTAATTAGTTTGATTGTGGTAATCACTTCACAGTACATATACCAAAATATCACCTTGTAAACCTTAAATATATATAATTTTTATTTATAAAAAATAAATAGATAAAAAAGTTTTTTTAAAAAGAGGGGCAGTCACAATACTGCTTAACCACCTAAGTGGATTAACCACAAGCCCACTGCCTGGCACAAAAAGAAAACACAAGAAATCCTTTCTTTGAAATAATCAGCTAGGTCTGCTCACTGTGAAAATGGGAATAACATTACTTAAGGACATCCACATTCAACCAACATTAACTATATGTCTACTATGCACTAGACTTTATGCTGTGTATGGGAGCATTCAAATAAAATAAGGTACATATTTATTAAATGTACAGAGTTATCTGGTAGATGGTGATTTTACAGGCTGCCCTATTATTGCTGTTTTCTGTGTTACATTTCTTCACCCCAACCACATTATAAGCTCTTCAAGTGCAGGCTTAGGATTCCTTTAAATATAAACCCAGTACAGTGTTGGACACTTAACAAAATCTGCTAAGATCTGGATAGTATCTATCTAAGCTTGCAAAAGCATTTTCAAATAGAGGCAGCACAACATATAGTTAAGGGAGCCTTTGAAGCCACACCACTTGAGTATAAATACCACTTACTATTTGTATGTCTTTGAGCAAGATACTAAACCTCTCTGTTTCTCAGTTTCAGTTGTAAAATGAGGGTAATAAGGACTAAATAAGTTAATACATGCTTTCATTTGATCCTCAAAAAATCACATAAAGCAATGATTTAACACCAAGGAGAAAGTGAAAGTTGAACTCGAGGAAATATTTTTATCTCTAAAGATGAATTTATCTGCCTCCTATTGACAGGCAATGACTACCATATGATTAAACATGCTTCCCTGTCAGCTTAAGCTGTCTCTATACCAAGAACCAAATGCATTACTCAAGTGTATAATGTGTTTAGCTCAGTGGCTAAAGCATTCATTTCTTCAGATGGTGTCCAGTCATCTTATCATATGTAGTGTCTGAATCTGAATAGGGAGAAGCTACCATTAAAAGGTATGTTATTTTTTCAATATCTAAGATTAGTGAACTCCAAAAAAGGAAGGGTAAATAATGCCAATTTGAAGGCAAGTTTTTTTAAAAAAATATATTTTATTGATTTTTCACAGAGAAGAAGGGAGAGGGATAGAGAGTTAGAAACATCGATGAGAGAAACATCGATCAGCTGCCTCCTACACATCTCCTACTGGGGATGTGTCCACAACCAAGGTACATGCCCTTGACCAAAATCGAACCTGGGACCCTTCAGTCCACAGGCCGGCGCTCTATCCACTGAGCCAAACCGGTTAGGGCTGAAGGCAAGTTTTACAGAGACTTTCAACCAAACCTAAAAACTGCAGAGAATTTCAAATGCCATACAGCAGCTTTGACATATATCAATTCATTCATTCATCCATTACATGGAAACTTGAGAACATAACCAAGTCTGCAAAGGTCTGATCATGAACCAATATTTTAAAAAGAAACACAGAGATATTATTTTTGGATATAATTTGGAGTGCTTAGCCTATCCAAGTCCTTAGGCCCACAAAACCCCGAATGTCCCGGGAGCAGTAATTTCCAAGTCCACTTTTCAGCTTTGGTGCACTTCAGTCACATTCCCCTCACTCTCAGGCCCCACCTTTTGTATTTGCTTCTTTGTAGCTACCATAGTAACTGGGACCTCAGAATATGATATAAATTAGGGAAACTTGGAAAAGTTTCTGTTCTGTGGTTAACAAAGTGAATTCCACTTTGACAGCAGAGCAGGTAACATTAGAATGTTCCTCCTAAGGAGAAAGACCACACAAATAGTGTTAAGAAAGCAGTTAAAACTATGAAGTTCCATTTTAAAAATCTGTCATATTCAACTATTCATATTTCAGTCATTTTTTTGCTTCTTTGAACCCTTCTGTTTCCTCCATAGTCATTTACTTATCCATTTGTTTATTCAGCTAATAAATATATTTGTGTACCTCTTCTGTGACAGGCATTATGTTTGCTATGTAGAGAGCGGCCCAAGTGACTTTAAAAAATATACATAAATGAGGACAGCCTCTAGCTAACAGCTAGCTAGAAATTGAGATTCTCACTTCAACAGTCCTCAGGGAACTGAAATTCTGCCAACAAACAAATATGCTTAGAAGAAATCCCTTCCTAGTTGAGCCTTCAGATGAATCCTCAGTCCTGATGACACTCTGATTTTGGCTTATGAAACACTTTTGGATAACTATATCTCTCTTTAAATTATGGGCATATAAAATCTTGATAAAAGTGAAAACTAAATTTAAAAAAAAAGAAAGCCCAAGCTATGGAGTAGGAAAGCATGGGTTCAAGTTCTGATTCTACCACCTATCTCTGATGTAATCTTGAGCAGCTACTCACAAAATGCTATTAGGCTATAAATAGATATAAAAACTTGGTCAATAACATACTATCTAGCTCCAGTCACTGGATTTCAGCTTGAGAGCAAATCTTGATTATCTCTGTTTCCCATATAGGGCTTATAGTTTAGCGTAGATTATACATATACAGTATGTCCTAAATGCAATGACTTAAATCAAAATGTAAAGCATTTGTAGGACAGGGATCTGATTTCATACCCATTACCCTGTCTGCACAAAAGTAAACTGCTCACCTCTTTCTTTTCAAACATCATGTTTTAAAATATATTTTCCTATAACTGAGACATTGCTCCCTGTATTTTGCACATGCTCCTATTATTGTACTTATCACATTGTGATGATGAATTCTAGGCACATTTGAACATAATTCTATATACTTGCTTCCTCCATCACAGAACTTCAGTTTTGAATAATGCAGGGATTTCAAATCACTTCTGTTGGATATGATTAGAAAAAAAAGGGCAGAGGAGTGGGAATTGAGAAGAGGAAATAGATCAAGCAGAAGCCCAAGCAGAGTAGAAGTTTTCCTTTGAAGTACAGCTTTAAGAAAAATGAAGGAAGCTGAAGCAAAAGAAACACAGGCTCAAAACTGCCTACCAATAATTGTTAGTGTAGAGGCAACTAAGTTGATAGAGAGGTGACAGCTTTCACTCGTGTGATTCTGAAGCACACTAATATATACTGGTTCTAGTCTGGATCAAGACTATATAACTCTGAGAATTAGAGAGGAATATGAGAAATACTACTACAGTAAACTGGGTTAAACAAATTTTTTCCATTTCAAATATCCCAAGAGACACAGTGGAACTTCAGAGATAACAGTCAATAATTTGTGTCATAAAATCATAACAGCATAAAACATTTGCACAGAGGAATATACCAAAAAGACAAACCCCTTAATAAACATGTTATCTGTAATACAACAAAACAAATATACCATGTTCTTATTGAAACTGAGGAAAAAAGGAAATTTTTTTAGCTTCTAACAAGCAAGGAATGGTAAATGGGAATTAATGATATTTATGCATTATTACAAGTTTAAAATATGTATGTTTTTATATCACTGATATTCTCTTTATGTAATGTTTACTGTTTGATTTTTGTGACTGCAAAAATTACATGTATGAGGCTTTCATTAGTTCTCTCAAGATCACAGTTTCTATCCAATTTTCCCCTTCAGAATTCAGGTTTCTCAAAATGCCCTATGATTAGGGAGGGTATAACACACACTTGTCTGTCTATCCTTTAGATAGGGATATTATGAGGGTTTTTTGCCCATTTATATGGGCCTTGTACCTAGTTCTGTGCTTGGTGTAACACATACCCAATAACAGTTACACTAATCTGTTGACCCATTTGCTCAATAAGTAATACTAAGCAAATGGTAGAACAATGGCTAAATACTGACAAATGGCAGATTTTATACTTCCGTAATGGTATCCAATGCTGCAAAAATCAGTAAATAGGATTTTCCAGAGTTTATATACCCCATTTCCCTGCACAGCTTAGCTGGGTTTCTGGGTCTCTCTTACACCACTCAATCATCTAATTTCTTTTCTGAGAAGATGATACCTAAAAAAAGCTTCAGAAAGCAGAGCCCATTTGAAACACCAGAAAAAGTTACATGTGGTTCTTCCAAGGAGGCTTGTCTAGATGTTTAGGCTGCCACAATTAATTTCCCTATAGACTTAGAAGCTATAATGCAAACAAAAGCATTTTGATATTTGTGGTCTATAAAGGGTTACCATTTTACCTAAAATATCTAAAAATTCCCTTTAAAAATAATGTAGA